GAAGTCTTGTGACAGTTGGATGCGCAGCAATAAGGCCAAGACACGTTTTACAGAGTCTCGACTCACTTGTCCTGTGGAAAAAGAAGTGGATTGCAGCCTTCCCTTCCTGGATGTCTGGATCCCTCGTGTGGATAAAAATTTCAAGATCACAGTATACAGGAAGGCCACCAGTGTTTGTTCCTATATCCACCTCCACTCCAGTGACGAGACTAAAGTAAAAAGGAGCATCTTTCTCAATCTGTTCCTGAGAACCTTGTGAGATTGCAGTCCTGAGTTTCTCGATTAAGAAATTATGATAATCTTTGATATTGCAACGAAACTACGGTACCCTATTGAGTTTGTAGAAAAGGCTTTGATAACTGCTAGAAAGACTTATAACATAAGTGAACCTAGAATAATCCCCACATGTTAGTAATACGTTAGTGTTTCCTTACAACGAGAATCTGTGATTGCCGAATGCCCTTAAATGATTCAGCATACAAGTAGTCTTCAAGAATTCAAGGACGGTTAAAAGTATGGTGATTAAGAATTCCCCATAAAAAGACTGTTTTGGAGGCGACTACAGAGCGGATTGTAGAGACTGTAATTTATCACAGGTCGAACAGACAGGTAAACCCTTGATGTTATGTTAGCACAACACCGATACTCGATCAGAACCGTGCAAAAATCTATTGCAGTATCTATTCACACACATATAGGCAATAATCCTGCAATATGGTCGGAATCCAGAATTATAGTTCCTAGTTCATTGTGGCTTGAAGGAAATATTTTAGAATCGGCAGTTAAATAAAAATAATAGACCTTCACTATATAATAATAGGTAAGGCCTTTTCAAACTAGATACTTTTATGGTAGAGGCTATTGTACATAATCTTAAACCTGATATTTTCACGAAAGCTGTGGACTGTCATAAATATCGTGATTCTGTACTGAGATTCCGACGATAACTGGCTTATACCTGTCAAACCGTTGTGTTAGACTATTGTCTCCTAAAGGGTTGTATGAGAACTATTTCGTAGTTTATGGAATAATAGCCACGTAGTTAAATTGTGGGATGGTCCTCTACTATTTCACCTTTGATTTTTTAATCTTTTATGCTATCTTATGTCCTATGGCCATTGTAAGCAGGTTTGGGAAAGAAAAGGACCTCTAACAGCATATAGACAGGTGAACATGTGATGCGGTACGGCCAAATAATTTTTTTCGTTAGTCTATCCTTATTCCATTTTCCTTAATACTCATTCTCTGTGTATTTGCATCGGCTAATGCAAAGGGAATTGTTTCCGATTTCTATTAATGTTAAACCGAAAAAAATGGCCAACTATACAGATGAATATTTTTTTGTCACAAAGGGAACACACATTTAATAACGAGAAATTTTCAATAACTGTGAAAGGTTACGTAAAACTGAAAGCACCTCCAATGAAAAGCAGGGGCGCCATGAGTACGCACACTAAGAGAAAAAAATAAGTGTCCGGGGCCCAAGACTGGTCAACAGGCTCCCACTATACATAAGGGAAATTAGCAATACACCCCTGGCTGCCTTCAAGAAGGAACTGGAAGTTTGCCCTAAGTCAATACCAATCAGCCGGGCTGTGATTTGTATGTTGGACTACATGCGGCCAGCAGTAACAGCCTGGTTGATCAGGCCCTGATCCACCAGAAGGTCTGGTCAAGAACTGAGCCGCGGGGGCGTTGTCCCCAGGAACGACCTCCAGGTAGACTCCAGGTAGGTAAGTTATTTCCTGGGAGGTGTGGGTGACTAGCAGGCGTCCCTGCTGTGGTATGGGTCGACACCAGCACCATGTACCTGAGAGAATTTTCTCCTCCTATCTGTTGCTAGACTTGCAACACTGCTTAGCTCCTGATAACGCATGGGAGTGCTTAAGATCTTGATCTAAAGAATTCCATTGTCATGTAGGTTCTTCTGCAATAAATGTGTGTGTATATGTGTGTGTGCACTTATTAACCCACATGGACACAGAAACTCAGAAGATTAATTGATCTGTATATTTCGACCTTCTGCTGGGATCCTCTTCAGCAGATGCACAAGTAAAAGGAGGACCTGAATTGACACTCAGGGAAGCACTGAGTGTCAAGTCAGCGTGTGGGAAGACAGGTCAAGGAATGAACTAGTGAAATGACAGGTCTTGAAGTAAAGCTTTGAATTTAGGTAGGAATTTCCTTTGTGCTATGTAATTTCTGATCTAGTGCTGGCGTTCTGTATTAGGTTGGACGCTGGTATGTACTTCTTGAAGGAAAATTTTGAAATTACGTCTGGTTCCCAATTGTCCCTGTGAGATATTGAAGTTGAGGATGGTATCTATTAGGGCAGATTCTATGATTTTACGTTTGTAGCTGCAGTGTGAATTGTGTTTGATGGTGTCAGTTTCCCAGTCACTATTCAGAATTACATAGCACAAAGGAACTTCCCACCCAGATTTTAAGCTTCATCTGTCTTCTCACTCAGTCACTCCTTGACCTGTCGTCCCATGCCTTCTCCTGACACTCCATGCTCTCCTGCATGGAGTGTCAGGAGTGTCACTTGTGTGTCTGCTGAGCTTCCGTCTCCAATAAATACAATGAATTAATGTTTATGTATGTTCATTTGAATCAGCCAATGCAATGGTCTTTACGCTAAGAAGGTGAAACAACATCCTACTTCCAACGTCAATATATAATTTAATAAGCACTGGCGAGTAGTTTCCCCCTTGTCTTACTCCCTTATTAATGATAAAATAATCACCTCTCTTTCAATTGCTCACAATTCTTGCCTCCTGCTTTCTTAAAAAATGCTTAATAAAATATACAATATACAAAATATACAAAAGTGTTTCACCTCACCAAACACCTCAGAGAGGTCCGTGAAAGTGTTCCACCTCACCAAACACCTCAGAGAGGTCCTTGAAAGTGTTCCACCTCACCAAACACCTCAGAGAGGTCCGTGAAAGTGTTCCACCTCACCAAACACCTCAGAGAGGTCCCTTATAGTGTTTCACCTCACCAAACACCTCAGAGAGGTCCCTGATAGTGTTCCACCTCACCAAACACCTCAGAGAGATCCCTGATAGTGTTCCACCTCACCAAACACCTCAGAGAGGTCCCTTATAGTGTTCCACCTCACCAAACACCTCAGAGAGGTCCCTTATAGTGTTCCACCTCATCAAACACCTCAGAGAGGTCCGTGAAAGCAACACTCACCCTTCCTCCATTCTTCATCTGAGTTCTAACAGCTTCTTTCAACAGTAAACATGAGTTAATAGGAGATAATCCCTTACTGAACCCAGATTGTCTAAAACCATAATATAGGATTTCTTGTAATATATCCAACAAATATATCTCGTATCAATTCTATAAACAAGATGATATCATAAGAGGTATATAATTAAATGACTCCGTAGAGATAACTTCAGTATCTTTAATTAAAGGATATATTCACCCTTTTGTAAATTATAAAGATTATAGTAATGACTGTAACACTCATAAAATATGTAGTTTTAATAGTATTAATAGTAGCAATAATAGTAGTAGTAGTAATAGCAGCAGTAAGAGTCGTAATAGGTACAGTAGTAGTAGTAATAGTAGTAATAATAGCAATAATAACAGAAGTAGTAATAACTCAAATAATAACAGAAGTTGTAATAACTCAAATAATAACAGAAGTTATAATAACTCAAATAATAACAGAAGTTATAATAACTCAAATAATAACAGAAGTTATAATAACTCAAATAATAACAGAAGTTATAATAACTCAAATACTAGTGATCTATGCATTTCTTAGCAACTCGTAAGTAAACAAACTTCTAGTAGCACTAGTAGTGAAAGTAGTAGTAATAACGGCAGTCGTAACAGTGGCAGTAGTATATAAGAACATAAGAAAGAAAGAACAATGTTGCAGGCCTACTGGCCCATGTGGGGCAGGTCCATGTCATCCCCCGGCTTAGACCAAGGGCCCACCCAGTCAGGTCATCTCCACTTAAGAAAGGAGCACGGCTTCTGACCCAGTAGCACCAGTTAGTCAGGTCCAACTCGCACCCACCCACACCCACTCATCCACAACTCTATTACCAAACCAGTGCTTTCCTATATCCTTCCTGAATCTGAATTTTTCCAGCTTAAAAACCCATTGTTGCGAGTCCTGTCTAGGCTAGATATTATTAACACGCTATTTACATCCCCTTTATTCATTCCTGTTTTCCATTTATACACCTCAGTCATATCCCCCCTAATTCTACGTCTTTCTAGAGAGTGCAGATTCAGGCCCCTCAGTCTATCCTCATAGGGAAGATTTCTGATACATGGGATCAACTTTGTCATCCTCCTCTGTAGGTTTTCCAGAGCATTTATATCCATTCTGTAATACGGTGACCAGAACTGTGCAGCATAGTCTAAATGAGGCCTAACCAAGGATATATAGAGTTGAAGAACAACCTGAGGATTTCTGTTATTTATGCTTCTTGATATGAAGCCAAGGATTCTGTTAGCTTTATTGCGAATGCTTATGCACTGTTGTGGTTGCAGGTTACTGCTAACCAGAACTTCTAAATCCTTTCCGCAATCAGTGATATTAAGATCTACATTATTTAGTTTATATGTGGCATGGTTATTATCCTTTCCAACATTTAGAACCTTGCATTTGTTTATATTAAACTGCATCTGCCACTTCTCCGACCATTGCATCAATCTATTCAAATCATCCTGGAGTGCCCTAATGTCCTCATTAGAATGAATTGGATGGCCTATTTTGGTGTCATCAGCAAATTTGCTAATGTCCCTATTTATTACTTCATCTATGTCGTTTATGTAAATTGTGAACAACAAGGGGTCCAACACCGCTGTGGAACACCGCTTGTGACGTGCCCCCATTCTGATTTCTCCCCATTTATACAAACTCTCTGCTGCCTATTTGTCAACCATGCCTCTACCCAGGAAAAAATTTCTCCTCCTATTCCGTGTGCCTAAGTTTCCTCAATAGCCTCTGATGTGGACCTCTATCGAAACCTTACTGAAGACCATATACACAATATCATATTCAATACCATGATCTACCTCCTCAAATACCTTACCTGGAGTTTACCTGGAGAGAGTTCCGGGGGTCAACGCCCCCGCGGCCCGGTCTGTGACCAGTTAGTAAATTCGTAAGACAGGAACGCCCTTTTGCAAAACCGTGTTGAGATTCATTAATCAGTTTATGCCTTTCAAGATGGCTATGAATTGCCTCGGGTATTATTGATTCCATAAATTTTCCCACAATGGAGGTAAGGCTTTTTGGTCTATAGTTCGAAGCTAAGGACCTGTCACCTGCCTTGTAAATGCCATTTTCCACTTATCTAGCACTATAACAGTTTGCAGTGATATGTTGAAAAGATTAGCCAAAGGTTTGCTAAGCTCCTCTTTACATTCATTTAAAACCCTAGCAAACAATTCATCAGGGCCTGGGGATTTGTTAGGTATTAATTTCTCTATATGTCTAGTTGTAATAGTAATAGGAGTAGCAATAATAGTACTATCAATACTAATAGCAGTAGTTGTTGTTTCTGTATTTGGGCAACATGTAACAGCCCACCAAGCTAGTAAGAATGTGGGGTCAGACAGTACATTCAGGTTGGCGCCATATACGAGACCAGAGAGCCAGTAAGAGATACCTGTGTAAGGAAAGGAAGTGTGGCACTACATTTCAACCCACAGAGCCATTAGCAATGCTAATATGGCAGTATAAAGTCAGTCAATGTGGTATCATGTATTGTCCAAGACAGCCAGTCAGAGTGCCAACATGGCAGCGTAAGTTCGCGTGGAATGGCAACAAGTATTAGCAGGCAGTGACAGAAACAGTGCCAATATGGTAGTGTATGGTGAGGCAGTATGGCAACATGTATCAGCATACAGTGCCAGTAACAGTGCCAATATTAGCTCGGTCATGACAGCCGAGGAATGTAAACAGTCAGCTGTAAGCTTCCGGCAGTGAGAGGCACTCTTGCCAACTCCCTTACTCCCTTCTCCCTCCATAATTCCCTCACTCCCTCCTCCTCCCTCCTTTCCTCTCTCACTTCCTCCCTCCCTCCCTCACTCACTCCTCCCTCTCTCCCTCCTCCTTCATTCCCTCCTTCCTCACTCCCTTCTTCCCTAACTTCCTCCTCCCTAACTCCCTCTCTCACTACCTCCTCTATTACTCCTCTTTCCCTCACTTTCCCTATCACTCCATCCCTCCCTCCATCACCCTCTCCATCACTTCCTCCCTTACTCCCTCTACCACTTCCTACATCGCTTTCTCCATCACTCATTCCCTCATTCCCTTTCATCGTCACTTCCTCCATCACCTTCTCCATCACTCCATCAAACTCTTCAAAATTCCATCACTTCATCCCTTACCCCCCCCTCCCTCCCTTCCTGCTTCCATCAAGTTCTCCCTCACTCTCTTCCTCTCTTCCACCCTCCCTTATTCTTTCCATTGCCTTATCCATTATTCCCCTCCCTCATTCTTCCATTACCTTCTTCTCACTCTTTCATTCTCCACCCAACTCTCTCCTCTCTCCTTCACCCCCTCACTCCTTCCGTAACTTTTTCCTTCACTCTCTCCCTCCCTTCTCTCTCTCTCTCTCCCTCCATTACTCCTTCCATCACTCCCTCCCTCCTCACTCCTTCATTTTCTCTATTATTCCAGCCATCAAACTCTCCATCACTTTCTCTCTCTCCCTCCTTACTGCCTCAGTCACTCCCTCCTTCATCCATCACTTTCTAGCAATATTTCCTTCCCTCCTTCCCACTTTCCCTCCCTCCTTCCTTTTATTCCTCCTAACTTCCTCCTCCTCCTTCCTTCCCTCTCTTTACATTCTCTTCCTCTCATCTTCCCTCCCTCCCTCCCACTTTCTCTCTTCTGTATTCCCTCTTCTATTTTCCTTCCTTCCCACCTTCCTTCCCTCTTCTATTTTCCTTCCTTCCCACCTTCCTTCCCTCCCATCTTCCTTCCCTCCCACCTTCCTTCCCTCCATCTTCCTTCTTCTCCCACCTTCCTTCTCTTCCACCTTCCTTCCCTCCCACCTTCCTTCCCTCCCATCTTCCTTCCCTCCCACCTTCCTTCCCTCCCATCTTCGTTCCCTCCCACCTTTCCTTCCCTCCCATCTTCCTTCCCTCCCACCTTCCTTCCCTCCCATCTTCCTTCTCTCCCACCTTCCTTCTCTTCCACCTTCCTTCCTCCTACCTTCCTTCCCTCCCACCTTCCTTCCCTCCCACCTCCTTCCTCTCCCACCTCCCTTCCCTCCCACCTTACTTCCCTCCTACCTTCCTTCCCTCCCACCTTCCTTCCCTCCCACCTTCCTTCCCTTCCATCTTCCTTCCCTCCCACCTTCCTTCCCTCCCATCTTCCTTTTCTCCCACTTCTTCTCTCCACCTTCCTTCCCTCCCACCTTCCTTCCCTCCCATCTTCCTTCCCTTCCACTTCCTTCCCTCCCATCTTCGTTCCCTCCCACCTTCCTTCCCTCCCATCTTCCTTCCCTCCCACCTTCCTTCCCTCCCATCTTCCTTCTCTCCCACCTTCCTTCTCTTCCACCTTCCTTCCCTCCTACCTTCCTTCCCTCCCACCTTCCTTCCCTCCCACCTTCCTTCCCTCCCACCTCCCTTCCCCCCACCTTACTTCCCTCCTACCTTCCTTCCCTCCCACCTTCCTTCCCTCCCACCTTCCTTCCCTTCCATCTTCCTTCCCTCCCACCTTCCTTCCCTCCCACCTTCCTTCCCTCCCACCTTCCTTCCCTCCCACCTTCCTTCCCTCCCACCTTCCTTCCCTCCCACCTTCCTTCCCTCCCATCTTCCTTCCCTCCCACCTTCCTTCCCTCCCATTTTCCTTCTCTCCCACCTTCCTTCTCTTCCACCTTCCTTCCCTCCTACCTTCCTTCCCTCCCACTTTCCTTCCCTCCCACCTTCCTTCCCTCTTACCTTCCTTCCCTCCCACCTTCCTTCCCTCCCACCTTCCTTCCCTCCTACCTTCCTTCCCTCCCACCTTCCTTCCCTCCCACCTTCCTTCCCTCCCACCTTCCTTCCCTCTCACCTTTACTCTCATTTCTCAGGTGTCATATCTTCTACCTAACCCATGTTTTTTTTTCTCTCTCCCTCTTCTTCTCTTCCTTAATTTTCTCTCTTCTTTCCATCACTTCCTATCTCTATGTATTCTCCTCTCCATTTTTTCCCTTCTATTTCCCTCCCATTCTCCGGCTAACCCTCCCAGCATGTCTTACCTCACCATCACTCCCTCTGTCTCCCCCATTTATTCGCATATTATCTCAGTTCTTTCGTTTATCGTGTTCTTCCCATTTCCCCCATCCACTCAAACCTTACCTCCTCCTGTCTTTTCCCGTTCCTTCTCTTCATTTATCCACTCAAAGTCATTTTCCTCAGCATTAACTCCCTCTCTACAATCCTAGTCACCTTTGCTTCCTCCTTCCTCTACTCTAACTCCTTCTCTCCCTCTTTTACTGTCCCTCCCTTTCTCCCCCTGCCTCATTCCCTGCTTTCCAACCTCCCCTACTTTCCCTTCCTCTCAATGCCTCCATCTCTTAATCCCCCTATCTCTTTCCCTCCCTTCTCTCTCCCTTCCTTCCTTATTTGCCCCTCCTCACTCCCTCTCTCTATCCTCCCTCCATGAGTTCAACTCCCTCTCTCCCTTTCCTTCATCACTGTCACCCAGAAACAGCTTTACGTCTGCTATTAACATACGTATACACGGGTCCTTCTTGGCACGTCGCTAGAGGTCCAAGACCACTTCAGGACCAACTCTATCAACCTGCCACTGAAGGTTTTACAGTGGCCAAAATAGCAGAATATACTACTGGGTCATGTTATGTTACTAGCAATATATTTTGATTTATACAGATGAGCATACCTTGCTGTATGTGTGTACTCACCTAATTGTACTCAGCTAATTGTGGTTGCGGGGGTCGAGACTCAGCTCCTGGCCCCGCCTCTTCACTGATTGCTACTAGATCCTATCTCTCTCTCCTTCCTGAGCTTTGTCATACCTCATCTTAAAGCTATGTATGGTTCCTGCCTCCACTACATCACTTGCTAGGCTATTCCACTTCCTGACGACTCTATGACTGAAGAAATACATCCTAACATCCCTGTGACTCGTCTGAGTCTTCAGCTTCCAATTGTGACCCCTTGTTTCTGTGTCCCTTCTCTGGAACAACCTGTCTCTGTCTACCTACGTAGTATTTTGTATGTCGTTATCATGTCTCCCCTGACCCTCCTGTCCTCCAGTGTCATCAGTCCGATGTCCCTTAACCTTTCTTCGTAGGACATACCCCTGAGCTCCGAAACTAGCCTTGTTGCAAACCTTTGCACTTTCTCTAATTTCTTGACGTGCTTGACCAGGTGTGGGTTCCAAACTGGTGCTGCATACTCCAGTATGGGCCTAATGTACACAGTGTACAGTGTCTTGAAAGATTCCTTACTAAGGTATCGGAACTCTATTCTCAGGTTTGCCAGGCGCCCGTATGCTGCAGCAGCTATCTGGTTGATGTGTGCCTCCGGAAACATGCTCGTTGTTATGGTCACCCCAAGATCTTTCTCCTTGAGCGAGTTTTGCAGTCTTTGGCCACCTAGTCTATACTCTGTCTGCGATCTTCTTTGCCCTTCTCCGATCTTCATGACTTTGCATTTGGCAGGGTTGAATCCAAGAAGCCAGTTGTTGGACCACGTGCCCAGCCTGTCCAGGTCTCTTTGAAGTCCTGCCTGATCCTCATCTGATTTAATTCTCCTCATTAACTTCACAACATCTGCGAACAGGGACACACCTGAGTCTATCTCTTCCATCATGTCATTCACATATACCAAAAATAGCACTGGTCCTAGGACCGACCCCTGTGGGACCCCGCTCGTCACAGGTGTCCACTGTGATACCTCATCCCGTACCATGACTCGTTGTTGTCTCCCTGTCAGGTATTCTCTGATCCATTGCAGTGCCCTTCCTGTTATACGAGCCTGATCCTCTAGTTTCTGCACTAGTCGCTTGTGAGGAATTGTGTAGAAGGCCTTCTTGCAGTCCAAGAAAATGCAATCAACCCACCCTCTCTCTGGAGTCTTACT